ATGTTTAACTGCAGCCCAGCTTTTGCACTTCCTTCTTTCACTTTGGTTAGAAGACTCCTCAGTTCCTCTTCGCTTTCGACCATCAAAGTGGTATCATCTGCATATCTAAGTTTCCAACCATTGCGACATACAGGGAACATACAACTCCTTTGTTACACCAACTCCACTGGCTACCGATCAGCTTATGAGCACAATTCAAAGTGCTGGTTTTAACCTTTAAAGCCCTAAATAGTTCTGGCCCAGACTACCTGTCCGAACGTATCTCCTGCCACGAGCCATCACAAAGTTTAAAATTATTATTATTATTATTATTATTATTATTATTATTATTATTATTAACTTTATTTGTACCCCGCTAGCATCTCCCGAAGGACGCGATGCGGCTTACAAAGGCCAAGGCCTCAATACACAACATAACAATACAAACCTAAAGCAAATTAAAAACAATTAAAGCAATATTAAACAACAAGCAATAAACAATACACCAAGACACAATAAAACTGAGCTGGGCCAGAGTAATGGGTACAGGATTAAAAGTGCTGATGTGACAGGTGATACGTAAGGATTATAGGGTAGGTGCAATGTGCAGTGTGCGGCAATCTTAGTTCTAATAAAGTGCTTCTGGGACTTGGTATTGGAGATTTCCTATTCTGGGAAGGCACATCAGAACAGCCAGGTCTTCAAGTTCTTTCTGAAGACTGCCAATGTAGGGGCCTGTCTAAGATCTTTGGGGAGAGTGTTCCAGAGTCGGGGGGCCACCACAGAAAAGGCCCTGTCTCGTGTCCCCACCAAACGCGCTTGCGACGCAGGCGGGATCACGAGCAGGGCCTCTCCAGATGACCGAAGTGAATGCGTGGGTTCATAGACGGAGATGCGGTCACGCAGGTAGGCTGGTCCCAAACCGTTCAGGGCTTTGTAGTAAGCACCTGCACCTTAAATTGGGCTCGGAAAATAAACGGCAGCCAGTGGAGCTCCTTGAACAGGAGGGTTGACCTCTCTCTGTAAAGAGCACCAGTTAACATCCCGCTGCTCGTTGGACCAGTTGGAACTTCCGAGCCGTTTTCAAGGGCAGCCCCATGTAGAGCGCATTACAGTAGTCCAATCTAGAGGTGACAAGGCATGGACCACCCCGGCCAGATCAGCCTTCGCGAGGTACGGTCGCAGTTGGCGCACAAGTCTTAATTGTGCGAAAGCCCTCCCAGACACCGCCGACGCCTGAGCCTCAAGCGTAAGCGATGAATCCAAGAGGACTCCCAAACTGCGGACCTGTGGCTTCAGGGGGAGTGTAACCCCGTCCAACACAGGTTGCCACCCTATACCCCACTCAGGTTTACGATCGACCAGGAGGACCTCTGTCTTGTCGGGATTGATCCTCAGCTTGTTCCTCCTCATCCAGATAGACACAGCGGCCAGGCACTCGTCCAGGACCCGAGAGGCCTCCTTGGAATTAGGTGGAAAAGAGTAGTAGAGTTGTGTGGCATCTGCGTAGAGGTGGCACCTAACTCCAAAACTCCGGATGACCTCTCCCAGCGGTTTCATGTAGATGTTAAAAAGCATGGGAGTCAGAATAGAGCCTTGCGGGACCCCACAGGTCAAAGGCCAGGGGTCCAAGCAGGCGTCTCCCAGCTTCACCACCTGGGTTCGTCCCTCCAAGGAGAGGCCCTGCTCACAATCCCACCACTATCACAAATACGGTTGATGGGGACGAGAGACAGGGCCTTCTCAGCAGTGGGCCCCCGCCTATGGAACACCCTCCCAAGAGATATCAGATTGGCCACCTCCCTCTTGTCTTTTAGAAGGAAAATCAAGACCTGGTTATGGGACCAAGTGTTCGATCAGTGAGCAACAAGTGGAAGAAGATCACACAACTTATGGCAATGAATTGACCCAGACTGATTTTTGGATTTCAATTTTAATGGATGTGTCTTAATTAATTGTTTTAATTGTTGTTTTAATTTTTAATATTTTGATTGTACTGTGGTTGTTTTTTTGATGCTAGCATCGTATGGTGCTTTTGTTAGGCCGCCCTAAGTCTCCTTTTGGGGGGAGAAGGGCGGAGTATAAATATAGGAAATAAATCTATATAAATAAAAATGTAATGTTCGTTTGTGGGATTAACAGAACTCAAAAACCACTGGCCGAATTGACATCAAATTTGGACACGAGACACCTAACAACCCAATTTATGTCCTTCGCTCAAAAAAAATGATTTTGTAATTTGGGAGTTGTAGTTGCTGGGATTTATAGTTCACCTACAACCAAAGAGCATTCTGAACCCCACCAATGATGGAATTTAACCAAACTTGGCACACAGTTCTCCCATGACCAACAGAAAATACTGGAAGGGTTTGCTGGACAGTGTCCTTTGGTTTTGTAGTTGTAGTTCACCTAAATCCAGAGAGCACTGTGGACTCAAATAATGATTGATCTGGACCAAACTACACGAATACTCAATATGCCCAAATGTGAACACTGGTGGAGTTGGGGGAAAATAGAATCCTGATATTTGGGAGTTGTAATTGCTGGGATTTATAGTTCACCTACAATAACAAAGCATTCTGAACCCCACCAACGATGGAATTGGGCCAAACCTCCCACACAGAACTCCCATGTGGGCCACAGCAACGCGTGGCAGGGGACAGCTAGTAAATAAATAAATTGCTTAGGGGTCAATGAGACTGAGTCATTGATTGATTGAATTTATATCTGGGAATGTATTCTCTGCAGATACAAGAGGTCATGATGTATATTTCACTATTTCTTGCACTCCTGTTCAAAAAAATCATATACCAACATCCCACTATTCATAGGTGAGATTTTCCTGGACTTTGGGTGAATGACAAAACCATCCACCCAAACGAAACGAAATCTTCTGGCCCTAAAAGAGCATAAAATTGCATTGGTGGGTCTAGAAAATGCCTAGAGAGGACCTGTTTTGTCTGATATTGATACTGGTCCCATGATACAGGGGTTGTACTGTATTCAAAAGGAGCCTGACACTGCTTGGTTATCCCTTAATACAGTGGTTCTCAACGTTCCTAATACTGCGGCCCCTTAATACAGTTCCTCATGTTGTGGTGACCCCCAGCAATTAAATTATTTTTGTTGCTACTTCATAATTGTAGTTTTGCTACTATTATGAATCGTTATGTAAATATCTGATATGCAGGATGTATTCTCATTCACTGGACCAAATTTGGCATAAATACCCAATATGCCCAAATTTGAATACTGGTGGGGTTGAGATGGGAGGATTGATTTTGTCATTTGGGAGTTATAGTTGCTGGGATTTACAGTTCATCTACATTCAAAGAGCGTTCTGAACTACACCAACAATGGACTTGAACCAAACTTGGCACACAGAACTCCCATGACCAACAGAAAATACTGGAAGGGTTTGGTGGGCATTGACCTTGGGTTTTAGAGTTGTAGTTTGCCTACATCCAGAGAGCACTGTGGACTCAAACAATAATGGATCTGGATCAAACTTGACATGAATATGCAATTTGCCCAAATGTGAGTACTGGTGGACTTTGGGGAAAATAGACTTTGACATTTGGGAGTTGTAGTTGCTGGGATTTATAGTTCACATACAATCAAAGAGCATTCTGAACTCCACCAATGATGGGATTGAACTAAATTTAGCACCCAGAATTCCCATGACCAACAAAATACTGGAAGGGCTTGGAGGCCATTGTCCTTGAGTTTTGGAATTCCAGTTCACCTACATCCAGAGAGTACTGTGGACTCAAACAATGATGGATCTGGACCAAACTTGACATGAATACGCAATTTACCCAAATGTGAGTACTGGTGGACTTTGGGGAAAATAGACTTTGACATTTGGGAGTTGTAGTTGCTGGGATTTATAGTTCACCTACTACCAAAGAGCATTCTGAAGCCCACCAACAATAACATTAGGCCAAACATCCCACACAGAACTTTTAACCTCTTTTATGTTAACCTCTCTTATATCGAGGGTTGTATGTTGTATGTATGACTATGTGTTAAATGTGGTTTGTGTTAAATGTTTTGATATGGCCAATAGGCCAATCAATAAAACTTATCTATCCACACAGAACTCCCATGACCAACAGAAAATACTGTCTGTGATGGTCTTTGGTGACCCCTCTGACACCCCCTCGCTACCCCTTCAGGGGTTCTGACCCTCAGGTTGAGAATCACTGCCTTAATACCTTTCAGTCACCTGTTTGTATAAACAAGGGTGGCTAGTCAAAACCAAGATGGATTCCCTCTTCTTGCCCTACCATACATTCACACAGACATATTTATTCTGCTCTGGGTTGCCATGATCTGGCAGGTGTACATGCCAGGAGGTTTGCTGTTGATTCATCAGAACGGCATATAGTTTATGCATCAAATCTCTTTCCTCAACTACATCCTGAACCTTCTTTTTCTCCTGACTTGAACCAGATCTCCATGCAGCACCTAGTAGTTAAGAGCTGAAGAGGAAGTGTGCTCAAGCACCCCACTCATAATGGCTTTTGCAAGGAAAAGGGAGCTGCGATTGGATCAAGACCACTTCTGAAACCTCTGAATCCATGATAGGCTGCTTCCCTTGAAGCCAGAAAAGGAATAAATCCAATTTTCTTGGGTCTACATCCATCTCTTGCATCCTTTTCCCTTCCTCCTTTTGATCTCTCTCTCCTCCTGATTCTTCCAGGGCATTAGGACCAGGTGGAAACCTTTTTCCCCCTTCTCTCTTTCTTTCTTAGCTTTGGATTCCACCCCCCACCCCAGCTTTTTTTTTAAAATAAAAAAAGCTTCTGGCCCTGCAACATCAGTGTAAGAGACCCACTCTTTGCATCCTGTTTTTTTGGTTAGTCTCAGTTTTGGGCTCAGAAGGGATCCAGAACAGGTGCCAAGTAGGGAGAGGAGGAGGGAGGGAGGGAGGGAGAGGAGGCGGTGGGAAAAGGTGGGCAGAGGGAAAGTGGGGGCGAGGAGGATGCCATTGGGGGGGGGGGGGTGTATGTAGAAAGGATGCTAATTTGTACTAGCTGGGGGAAAATGGCTGCTAGTTTCTCATCCTCTTTATGATAAAGGCAAGCTCTCCTTCTATCTGGGCATCTATCTATCTGTCTATCTGTATATGCATATAAAATTCTAATTAATTGAGAAAAGGTGGGGGGGGGGTGCAGTTCTTTCAACGTGATAATGCAACCCTAACGCGCCAGCTGTAACGACCCATCGATTCACAGTGAGTCATTCTTCTGAGATATGTAAATATACATAGATAGGTAGAGCTACAGAAGGGGACATCCCCCCTTTTTTTCCCCCCTTCTTGCAAAATGCATCTATAAATCACCAAAAAGAGGGGGGCTGTTATTATTTCTTCCTCCCCCTCTTTGCTTAGTAATGAGAGAGATTGCAGGGGAAGAGACCAGGAGGCATCATTTCCCATTCATAAAAATCAGCATGCTTTAAAGACCTGTTTTTTTCCTCGGGTATGGTTTCTATTTTATCTTTATTGTCATTTGGCTGGTATTTTTAATGTATATATATGTGTGTATATATAAAAGCACACCTTCCTGTTCTAGCTGTAATTATTTGTGCTTTCAAAAATGGTGTTTGTAGTCCTTGTAGGTGTCATGTTATCAGAATGTAGTCTTGTTTCATTGAGGGTTTTCTTTCTCCTCTGAGGATGAAGGTGGGTCTTTTTTTTTATGAATGAAATTCAATCCCACCAAAAAAAAAAAAAAGAGGGTGGGGGTCTATTTGTTTGTGAATCAAAGCCATTTGCATCGGGATTCATTCATAAAAAAGCCAAGGTCCTGCTGTAACATTCATAATGGTGAGAGCTACATTTTTTTCCCTGTTTTTTTTCTAGCCTGTCAATTTTGGATGCTGTTAAAAGGGGGGGGGGGTTATGGAGAGGGGGGCTTCTTAGATGCATGTGTCATAGTGGATGGAACTGGAATTGTTTCAAGATAATGTGTGTGTGTGTGTGTTTTTAGAAAAACAGGGTATGCATATTGAGATCTATATATCCCCCCCCCTTTTTTTAATATAAATATATACTGCACTCCATCTGGATCTCTCGAGATATACGTGTTAATCCCCCCCTTCACCTGTTGTTTATTCAAGAAACAGGGACAAAGAACCTAGACTAGGTCATGTGACCCTCCATTCACAAAAATCCAGCCCAGGGTTTCCATTGAGATGGGCTGAAGGAATAGGCAGCTGGGCCATAGAGAGACATACCTTTTTTCAAAGCCCTGTTACATAGCATTGGCAAAAAAGGAGAGATAGTGGTTGGAGGAGGAAAAAGGGGGGAGTGAGACAGCGAGGGAGAAGGAGGAGAGGGTGGGTGGGTGGGTAGGTGGGTTTGCAGTTTTTCAAGAAGAGACTGTTGACAACCTGCATCATACGTCTTAAAGGGGGGGGGGCAGCAGAGGGGGGTGGAGAGACCTCCTTTTTTATTTTTATTTTTATTACTGCTTGAAATATTTTATACCACACCAGGCCACACTTCTGCGACAAGGTTTGCCACTGGAAATATGTATTTAAATACGAACTAACTTATATAACCTTTCGTGCATGTTTGGAGACGTCTCTGTGTATGCATATATGTATTTGATCTTAAAAGGAAAACTAGTTAATGTCTTTTTTTTTTAAAGATAGGATAAAGGGGACTTTGGTCTGCAGGATGTTATGTTAATATGTTTTTTTTTTCCTCCTTATGGTTGCAGGGGAGGATAGATTGGACGGGAATTGATCTTGTATCCTTTCCCACTAGAATCCAATTTTTGCCTACGCCAAGGCCAGAGAGAATTGTGTGTGTGTGTGCCTGTGTTTGCATCAAATATATTTTATTGCGTGCTATATATCTCAGGTTGTTGCTTTGATGGGCAAGGTGTGTGTGGTGGTGGTGGGGTGGGGGTGAGCTTAGATCTTAAATTTTCCAAACACCCCCTTTCATAATAATGGTAACAGGGGTTTTTATCCCCCCATTAAATCTGAGCTTATTCCAGTAATCAAATGGTGGGTTTGGAACCAGAAACTTTGCACTGAATGTATTCCCCTTTTCCATATCCTTTTGGTGATGGGGAGGTACGGTGGGATGAAAATGTGTTGCACTGGCAAAATGGGAGTTTGCTTTGGTCTTGTGCATTTTTCGTGGAAGGGCAATTTGTTTATGTTCTTGCAAAAAAGAAGAGTCTTCCCCTCCTTTTAAAATATATATTTCCTGTGTGTCCCCCCCTTTCTCATTTTCTCTGGCTTGCCATCAAAACAGGGAATATGTGTCTCCACTTTGCTTCAACATCTTTGATCTTGTAATACATAATGTCATTTTCCATGGCAACGCGTTGTGATGTCACCTGTATGTTGAAAACGCTGTGATATATATATATATATATATATATATATATATATATATATATATATATATATATCATATTGAGTGGGGGGTTTTGATGTTTTCACTTTACCTCTTGATTTTTGTATCAGTTCTGTTTCCCTTTTGGAGACTCGTAAATACATATCCTATCCTGGGCAACTGGGCGGTTGCGGATTCTTGGTGGTCGGACCGAAGTGGGGGAGGCGTCTTATATGGCATAGCCTTTATCCATATTTCTCGATGTCTTCGTTCTCTTTTAACTACCTCTCCAGCCAGGTACATCTCCTTTGAACCACTGAAGTGCTCTGGAAGAGCAAGAATTTGGGTCTCTCCTAGCTCTTCTTTATTTTTTCCCTCACATTTCCATTTAAAAGTTGGTGGGTTTCCTTCGGCACAGGATCAGATCAGAAGTCAACCTCCTTTTGCAGCCTGGGATTTTCTGATTAATCGGTTTGATTTTCAGGGAAATGTTAAAAGTAATGAGGTTACTAGGAAAGGAGGTTTCTTGAACGCAGGGGAAGGAATATGGTGGACTAGTTTTGAGCCAAGACAGAGGTCAGAGACAAACACACATCAGGAAAGGCTTTGCGTGGCTGCACAGAGGACCAGTCTACAACGTAGGCTGAAAACTGGTTTAAAGCATCTTTCTTTTGCAACAGGGAGTCAAAGGACCAGCTGAGCAGAAGGTGAGGGATGTCCTCACAGTGGACCCCCAATATCTTCACCAAAAGATAATTCCCAAGAATCTTTTCAAGGAAGCCATGATGGTTTAAATGATACCAAACCGACTTATGTGTTTGTAGAGACGACCCCACTGCCTGCACTGCTGACTCATTGTGTAACCTTGGCTGGTCCTTCCTTCCCATTTTTCGGGCCGTAATGTTGGGTAATTAATTAGATGAATAAGTTATTAAACAGTTACTTAACTGATTACATAGACCCCCCCCCTTGGTTTAGTCAGATATTGTATTTTTTTAATTGCTATGTCTCCAGCTATATTTTTATTACACATTATTTGGCTAATTGCAAGTGCTACCTCTGCAAAAGCATTTCTCTATCTATCTATCTATCTATCTATCTATCTATCTATCTATCTATCTATCTATCTAGCTGTGTTTTTAAAAATACTAATTACGGTTTGTGGCTCATGGCAGGTGCTACCTTTGCAAAAGCACGTCTCCAACACACAGGATGAAGTGTCTAAGATCATGCGTGCCGTCACAGTCGTGGGTACAATCTCAAATCATGTTTGTTTTATTGAAATGCAGAATTATGCACAGAACTGATTCAAAGTAAAATGAGTTGGCAGATGAATCACGTAAGATTTATTTGATCAGGCCTGGATTATTCTTCTTTCTTTGCTCATCTGTGAAATGGGCAGAGATAGAGGAAGAAACCACAGCCCATGGGACTCAGGATGAAATCATTTCCAATTTCCAGAAACTATCCTCTTAAAATGGCTCTGGTTTACTGCTTTCTGGTTTCAAGGCTCGCAAATCCAGAGCACAGTCCTCGAATGCCCTGTTCTTTGCTCATCTTGACCCAGGAGCATCTTGCCTCATCCAACATTAAGAAAGTATTAAAATGTCAATGTGAGTTGTCAATATGAAGGAAAAGCTCGTTGTTAAAGCTCCAACGAGAAACCCTAGAGCCAAATCCGACCTGATTGGGATTTCGGTCTGGCCCTTTCTGTCCTTTTGTGACTTCCCATCATCTCGATAAAATTCTCTCCTAAGACTTTAAGAAGATAGATAGATAGAGCACAAAATAGATAGATAGATAGATAGATAGATAGATAGATAGATAGATACATACATACATACATACATACATACATACATATCTGGATGGATGAATGGATAGATAGATAGATACATACATACATACATACATATATGGATGGATGGATGGATGGATGGATGGATGGATGGATAGATAGATAGATAGATAGATAGATAGATAGATAGATAGACAGACAGACAGACACATGCATAGATAGATACCTAGATGAATGAATGGATCGATGGATGGATGGACGGATGAATGGATAGATAGAGCACAAAATAGATAGGTGGATGGATGGATAGATGGATGGATAGATAGATAGATAGATAGATAGATAGATAGATAGATAGATAGACAGACAAACAGACACATACATAGATACATAGATCTATACCTAGATGAGTGGATGGATGGATTGATAGACAGATAGACACATACATAGATACATGGATGAATGGATGGATGGATGGATGGATGGATAGATACCTAGAAGAATGGATGGGTGAATGGATGGATCGATAGATCGATAGATAGATAGATAGATAGATAGATAGATAGATAGATAGATAGACAGCTGAATACATAGAGATGATCAATAGATGGATGGATGGATGGATAGATAGCTGGATGGATAGATAGATGGATAGATAGATAGATAGCTGAATACATAGAGATGATCAATAGTACATGGATGGATGGATGGATGGATGGATGGATGGATGGATGGATGGATGGATAGATAGATACATAGATAGATACCTAGAAGAATGGATGGGTGAATGGATGGATCGATAGATAGACAGACAGACAGACAAAGAGACACATATATAGATACATAGATCTATACCTAGATGAGTGGATGGATGGATAGATAGATAGACAGACACATACATACATAGATACATGGATGGATGGATAGATAGATAGATAGATAGATAGATAGATACATAGATAGATAGATAGATAGATAGATAGATAGATAGATAGATGATAGATAGATAGATAGATGGATGGATGGATGGATGGATGGATGGATAGATAGATAGATAGATAGATAGATAGATAGATAGATA